GAATCTTAATAGCAGCCCTTGGGAAAACATCAAACCTTCCCTCCCGCTTTGGGCAGCCTGGCATGTGAGCTGGAGGGCCCGGACCAAGCAGAAGCCCTGGAGGAGAAAGCCCCCGCCAAAGAAATTCGCTTCAGCAACAAATCCCAAGGGTGTAGATATAAAATCCAAAAATACCTGCCAGGATCCCAGCAAGCAGCAGCAGCAGCACAGCGTGGGAGAAGAGAGTGTGGGACACTGGGAGAGACCGTCCGTTTCGACTGCCCGCGCAACTAATTACACAGACAGGCCTTGCCAACCCCGCCCTATTTACCTTACATGCCATTTGTCAATGCCACCGAATTAATTAGTCTACGTTGGAGTAGGCTTTGAATTGAAGCAGCAGACTACGGGCTAGTTAGTTAAGTGGCCAGGCGAGAGCACAAGCATGTAGTAGTAGTAAAGACTGCAACAAACCCCCTCGCCACCAAACCCCCTCCCCCCCGATTCCCCCGGGGGTACAGAATACGGGATGCAGGGAATGTGAACTGTTCCACATCATCAATTAAATAATACTTTTATTCTTTGTCAGGAATTGCTCGCATGGCCTGCCTATTGGGTACTCTGTGAGACTGTGGCACCATTGGTAGTTATATTTCTTAATTTAATGCTAGCTGTTTATTTACTCAACTCGGAAAACCTTCCAATAACTATATGACGACAGTTTCTTGCTGCTGTGCTGTGTCAATGAGATGAGAGGTTGAATAGCGGCTCAGCTATTCAGCTATTGGCAATTGTTATTAGTTTAGCCTCTGCCTATAGAGTTCATCATCCAGAGTATATTTCGGCTTGTAAGTTGCTGAATTTATAAGAAAATGTACTTACGACCAGGGGGAGGGACAGTCGACAGTAAACGAGGCGAATTCTGCAGATTGCATCTCCCATGGCATGGCACGTTGTGCTGTCCTGACCACACTGCATTGATTAGCGCTAGTATAGTTATGTGTGGAACAGTGGTTTGACAGCGGCTTCTCATTGGCGAATAGCTATCGATCCAGCTCTATCCAACAGCTCTACTCTAATATGCCATTCTGCAAAGTGTCGCCCTCGCAAGCAAGGCAAGGCAGGCCTCCATCGGACTTCAGATTATAGAATAGTGAACTGTGAACTGGCCTACATCCCTCTTGATTACTCATCTCCCTTCCCATATTAGTTAAACGTAATGGATCACCTTCCCGTGCGGATTACCTTCCCACCCTCCATTCAAATCCATTCATATTCACCAAATCATTCAATATGCCCACAAAATCAAACGGTCAAGCTTCTAATCAAGAAGGATGCTTCTCTTAGCCATTGAGGCCTATAAAACGGGTCAAATTTCAGATATTATGACTGCTGCCAAAACGTACGATGTTCTACGATGTTCCACTCTCAACCTACGTGATCGAATCAAGGGAGTCAAAACACGTTCAAATGCTCAACTTTCTAATAGAAAGCTGACCTCTACAGAAGAAGAATCTCTAGTCCAATGGGTAATATCCATGAATGAGAGAGGTCAGCCTCCTCGAATTGAAAATGTACACAATATGGCGGATTTACTATTTTCTGCCCGAGTTGAATCTACTGTGGGAGAAAAAATGGGTTCAAAGATTCATTGCACGTCTTAAGGAACTAAAGACTAGATTCCCACGCAAATACAACTAGAATGAGCTTTATGTGAAGATCCTAAGATTGTATGAGAGTGGTTTCAACAGGTGAAGAATATGATAGAGAGATATGGCATTGTGGATGGGGATATCTACAACTTTGATGAGACTGGCTTTCAAATGGGGGTTATATCAACAGCCAAGGTGGGTGACTGAGTCTGAGAAACATGACAGGCGAGTTCTCTTACGGCCAGGATATCGAGAATGGGCGCCTGTT